TCCGTGAAAACTTTCACAAAACATCCCCGGCTTAGGACTTAATCCATTGCGTACACTGCTGCAATTCAGGACCCATCGGTTCGAATGCATGCACCGACGACTGTGCTTACTGGAATTGTAGCAGGTTCTGGCTTATGCAGGCGCATATGCTTTCACTAAGCGTTAGCTGGCAACTGATCCCCAAGTTAGTGTTTTACAGCTGGATGTACCGGTAGTGTACGCACCAAAAGATGCTAGGGTATGTTCTGCATACACGTCTGCCTGGCAGCAAGAGTTGCATCAGAAAGCGTTACAACTGAACTCATGACAGGCTGCCTCCTCGCCCTTCTACCGCTGTATCAAGAATGCCTGGAGACTCCAGGCATTGTCGCCGCTTTTCTGGTAGCTACGATCTCAAGTGTTTTATTTGATCGCGGCTCACGACCCTCCCGGTTTCAGATCGAGGCCCAGCCTCAGCGCGGTGAGGCGCTACTCGCCCTAATGGGGCAGGTTACGCCCCACGGTTAAGACGGGCAGGTAGGGGCATCTGAGACCACCTCCACTGCTGGGGTACTTGGTGTTGCACGAATATGTTATGAAGGCGTTCTGCTATTAAAACATTTTAGATATTCTGTTCTCCCGTTGGACGGCTTTATAATACAACTGTGCACGCTTCGAACCACTTTTCCTCGCTTTCCATGCCTACCAGGTACCACAGTTTTCTGACCCGAAGTTGGTGCTGGTTGGTGCCAACAAGCTTGGCACTTCCGCAACGACCGACCTTCATAAATAAGCGGGACCAGCTCAGATATGCACGGGGCACGCAAGAGAAAGCCAGATATTGGAAAGTCACAAACTGCATACAGAAGCCGTTTTCCGATCCTGGCGAGTTGGAAGCCCGACGAAGGGCTAGCCATTCGTACGATATATGCCTTTGCTGTTGCCCCCCTATTAGCGTGCTGCTTACATCGAAGACTTTGCACCCACCTGGCAATGATACCATACTATCGATGTGGGGGCTTTCTAATGGCCCGGTGGGTCACCGAAGTTTCTGCGACATCTCCACGCAAAGCAAGAAAGGCAGCATTGCGAGGAGCAAATGGAGAGGGTGGAGATTCTGGATGCACTTAGAACGACTCGGCGATGCCACAGAGTGTTCTTGTTACATTATCATCTGATCGAAAACTCGAATGGGTTTCTGAGAACCTCTTCTCCGAAGAAATTTGTCAGGCGCATCTGTTACCCATCAGCGACTCACAAAATACGACTGTAATTGCGGCCTGCGCAGCGCCCCAGTCACCGACTTTCTCGCGAGAATTTTTCTTCCCCTGCCTACAGCTTGCTCTGTAAAGCTGACACCATGTGGCTGCTCTGAACACTGTCCACCTGCGGACTGATGCCGCCTGGTGGCAGCAACGCTGCGCATATATTGAGCTACGTTGGGGTGTCCGGAGCAGAACAGCCGAACAGCTGAGGCTCCCGTAGCCAAGCAGTTTTGCGAGCGGGTCTATCCGCACGAACCATGGGCCGGCAGCGGCGGCGGCAGCAGTATGCGCGGAGCTAGTGCCTGCTTCTGTAATTTCGTCGAAGTTGTCTATAGAGGGCCTCTAAGCTTTTACTACCCGCCTACCTGCTTAGCGCACGTGGCAACGTGCAATTTGTTGTGCTTGCAGGTGGGGCCGGCTTGCAGAATTTGGTTGCAGCAGGATGCGTTGCTGTCCAAAGAAAACCGCCTCCGCTCCCTACCAGCCTCAGATGTCGCCTGCTTCTCGGCAGTACTTTTATCAAGCAATATGGATCTGATGCATCTCGCGAGGGAGGCCGAGTAAGATGCAGGTCGGTTGCTACACTCACCGCGCTAGCCGACAACATCAGGTCCTTCTTCATCTGCTCCCAGGAGGGGCATGCGGGCGAATGTATATAGTATATATATAAATATATATATATATATATGTATATATATATATATATATACTTATGCCCTTTGAGAGGCCTTAAAAACAACAGTTTTGACTTCGTTGCAGCTCACGGCGCTCCATAACATTGACGACCCTCCTCACGAAGCTGCAGTGAGGCTACAGTGCAGAAGACCCGCCCACGATGTTTATAAGGCGTAAACGACCACATTTTTTAGCACGTAGCTTTTCCTATTTTTAATTTAAATGGATTGGAAAAGGAAATTTAAATAAATATTCCTTGAGTTGTTGGGGCTGCATGCGTGGGGCTTGGATCCGCTAGGGCTTGTTGAGGTTGGGGGGAGGCAACGGGGCCTGCCGGTGAAGCATTTCGCAGGTTGTGGAGAACGCAGACCTGAAAACTGCCGGCGGTGTATAAATTGGTTTAGTTTTTGTTGTTCAAGAACAAAGCTAGGCGGAAATGGCGCTCTTTCAGCGGTTCATTGAGCCTGGCCGCCTGTGCGTGGTGCAGTACGGTCCTGACGAAGGCAAGGTGAGCTCAGAGACTTGAAAATATTGCTTTTCCCTTCTAGCCGTGTTCTCTACTGCTCTTCTTTTCTGATCTTATGTTATCATCGGGATGTTTGTCCTTCTTCCTTACCGTTTCTATGCGGGTGATACCGACGCATGTGCGTGTGGGGGGCTGAATAGGCTCCCTAGTTGTCTTCTTTCGACCACCTACTGCATATTTAAACAAGATAAAACGTTTAGATGAAATTTCTATTGTTGAGAGCCTACGATTCGTTCCTAATGCACGGCTTTGGGGTAGTTGCGGTGCACGCTACTCGCAGTGGCGCTGCATGCAGATCCGTGGCGTTGAACAGTATAACAGGGAAAGCTCTGTTTTTTCCTGAATACACGTAAACTCAGGGCACTTGCTATAGTATTGTGAGGCTTTCATAGTCGATAGATACCGTTTATACTGTCCTTTGTGCTTCCTGCGGTGGGGAGGAGGCAGCCGGCTGTGTCGAAGACATTTGAGGCTTCANTATACTGTCCTTTGTGCTTCCTGCGGTGGGGAGGAGGCAGCCGGCTGTGTCGAAGACATTTGAGGCTTCACCGAATACTCTTTCTGTTTAAACCCAGCAGTGTTTCCCTTTTAAATTCGGAATTATGTTTTTTCCTACAAGTTTTTTTTCTCAATTACTGTCCGCGCATGCTCATAAATGCTGAAACGAAGGCGGTGGTTGCGTCCATGATATCTCTGCAGCTGCTATCTGTGTTCCTCATGCTTTGCATTTTGATTGATTGTTTTTTAATTTTAAGTTTTTGTTTGTTTTTCTTTTGGGCTCAGCTCTGCTTCGTCGTGGACATCATCAACCTCAACCGTGTCCTCGTTGATGGGGCCGGCGTAACAGGGTAAGCTGAACGAAAGCAGTTGCTGCACGGATCTGAGTTTCTGGGTGCCTGCATGCATGCTGAACTTTATATAAACTGCATTGTTTGCAGAAACGTATTTACATGAACATTAGATATCAAAAAGGGTGTTCAAGGCCATTAAAGACGAATAGTAGAAGCGCTGCGCCGATTGAATAGATAAATGTTGGCGTTGCTTGTTTTCCTTTGTTTCTGTGTACGATCTCATCCGTTTCGCATGATAAAACATGATATTTGAAAGTTTCTGATATATTTACAAGTATTTTGTTGTTTGTGTGTGTTTGTTTCAGAGTGAAGCGTCAGTCGATTCCCATTCGTCGTGTGGCGCTGACGGATATGCGTTTGAAGATTCCTCACGGCGTTCGCTCTGTAACTCTGCGTAAAGCTCTTGAAAAAGATGATGTAATAAAGAAATTCAACGAAACAGCCTGGGGAAAGAGGAGGATCGCGAAGCAGCGGCGCGCGGCGCTGACAGACTTTGAGCGATTCAAGTTGATGGTGGCCAGGAAGCAGAGGGCTCAGGCCGTACGCAGCAAGCTTTCCAAGAGAAAGTAAATAAATTAAAACTTATAAAAAAGAAAATAATACAAAATTACACTTTGTTCTAGTCTTTTTTCACAGAAATATTACTTGAAACTATGCTGCATTTCCCCCCTTGCGGGGAAAGCTGCAAATTCAAGTTTCGTTTCTGTTGGGTTTCTTCCTCTTCATCAACTCTCAACGGTCTGTCCTAATGTCTTTCATTCCCATTTCTTTTTATTTTTGTCTCTGGATATTTGCTGTTTTATACTGAGAAAGCAGAGCTACTGGTGGCTAAGCAAAACGAAACCCCTCGTAACAGCGGCAGCTTTCCTTGAAACACGCACACAGAAACCCGAAACCCCAGCAACCAGCCTGTAGATCAGCGAGCACCCGCAGCAGCAGCAGATGCTTTGCAGTCGATTACTTCGATCTAGGATTATTTATTTAATTATTTATCTGCTTTTCCTTGTGAGCATATGCGGTGCCGCTGCTGATGTAGTGTTTAGTGCAGGTGCTGCTGCTGCGCAGCAGCAAAAGAATTGAATAGGCGGGAGGCAGACAAAGAAGCCTCCATAGGTTATGAGTTGTGTCGTTTCAAGGTTTCTATTTATGTGTATATAAAACACAATATTATTATGTTTTATTTCTCTGTTTTATATAGTGCTAGCTGCTGCTGCTATCCATCCGAAGCAGCACGCAACGCTCCCCCTCAGGGCCCCGTTGGTACTGAGGCCGAAAGCAGAGGCAAATAGAAGAGCTGGGGGTCAGCGAGTCTGCCAGTGGCGTGCAGGAGATGTCTATACACCTGAGAAACAGAAACAAAACATGAAAAAAAAAACAGCGATGCACCGCCACAACAGTATTTCAACCTAAGCGAAAGAACAGAAGACAGTGCAAGCAAAACAAACGCAAACCCTGAACATAAATCTATACAAGTCTGTTTGAAACAAACCAAGAAAAGGATTTATTTATATATAAATTCATTAAATTTAAAACAAATAATTAAAAAAAATAAATAAAATATTACTTAAGAGAAGAACGGCAAACGGCAGCCTGTAGGGCTTCGTCCTGCAGCGCTATATCATCCTCAGCGGGGCGCAGTTTTGTGCACGCCGCGTCAACCCTGAAAATAAAAAGTATATAAAACAATAAAAATATAGAAATAATATAAATAAATAAAATAATATAAATATAAATTCAATATAAATTAAAAAACAATATAAATAAAAGGAACGGGATGAACGTAACAGCGATAGAAAGCAGAAACTATGAAATCATGCAAATACAGAAACGATATAAATGAATAAAACAATATAAAACAAATACACCTCTACAAAACAAACAAAAAGAAAAAAATACAGAAAACAATACAGAACAAATACAACAATACAAATACATGAACAGAGCATCTCGTGCTGCGGTGCTGTTTTCTTTTGAATGCTTCAGAGCTGAAAAAGGTGAATTTCCTCTAAAATACAGCAAAGTTGAGCTGTATATACACCTGAGAATGATGCTGCAGAGTTTCCTGTTTTATATTTTGTATTTATTTTATATATTTCACGTATTCGCAGCAGAAAAAGGAGTACCTTTCTAGCCGAGGCAGCTCAACAACGGAGAGCAGCAAACGCGATAACAGAGAAATCAAATTTCCATCGATCAACAGCTCCCGCAGAAAAGGCAAATAAGGCACGTGCCAGTCCACCATAGACCTGAAAAAACAGCAGCAGCAGCAGCAGCAGCAGCAGCAAAGAAATAGCAATAGCGATAGCAGCAGTAGCAGCAACAGCAGCGGCAGGAATAGCAGCAGCAGCAGCAGCAGCAGTGACAGCAGCAGAAGTAAAAACACCGATGGAGACTAGAGACACAGGAGGGAGGCGAATCAAAGAAACAAACAAAAACACAAACACGAGAAAAAAAGAGGAAAGTTAAACAAACAAACAAACAAACAAACAAAACAAACAGACAAACAAACAAACAAAAAAGAACAAAAACACAAAACCAAGAGCAGAGAAAAAAAGCAGAAAGGGAAAAAAATGAAAGAAAACCACAAAAAACAACAAACGCCCGAGAAAAAAAAACAAAAACAAACAAACAAAAATAAAAAAAAACAAAATAAAACAAACAAAAACAAAAAAAAGAAGAAAAATATATTTTAATTTATATAAAGACGAACACATCGTTGAGTTTGTTATGCGAGAGACAGAGCGTCTGTATGTTTGTTGCTTCCAGCAGCAGAGGGTAAGCCAGGCGTTCTATATTAGCTTTTATTATAT